AAATTTAACAAAAAAAGTCATTTTCAATTAGCAACACTTGGAAGATGAAACTTCGTAATTCATGAAGGGGAATGATTATTCATTTTTTTAAATGATCAAAATTACAATAATAATAATAATAATAATAATAATAATAATAACAAAAAAAAAAAAAGAAAAAAAAGTAAAATCAATGAATAGCATTTTAAAGTGTTTACATCTCAATTCTAACGGACTGTTCTTGTTAGGGTCCGGGACATTCGGAACTGAAAATTACGTTTCTTGTTTCTCAAATTAAATTGAAACACTCTTCAATTTTCATCCATTCCTTGATTTTTCTGGAAGACCTACCCAAAACTAAATGCAAAACTTGTTCTGCTCACGAGTATTCAAAAAAGATAACAATTCCCCTACAAAAACATAAAAAATAAATTAAATAATAATAATAAAAATTTTAATCTTATTTACCCTGCTTTTACACAGGGTTGTAAATTTTTACCGAGTGGTTGAGCTAGTTGTGGTTGCCCACCAACTCCATTGGTCGCTGTTTCAAGGTAAATAGACACGATCTCGAATGCCTATTATCAAGGCTGGGATATTGGCGCAGCATAATCTTCCTACTCGAAATCCCTTCCGTTTGTTTAGATTTATTTATTTATTTATTTTTGCGACGGTGAAGTGAGAAATGTGTTATTTGTTTAAAAACGTAAGAAGGTAGTTTAGATTTTTAATCACTGACTGACTCTGGATTCGTGTTTAGACACTTAGTATTGCTAATTTTAGTTTTATAGATTATATGAAAAATTATTTTCCAAATTATTTTATTTACATACAGAGTGGTCCTGGAAAATTAATGGCTCGATCCATTTCCCAAAGCATAAAAAAAAACTGACGAAAAGTAACAGACATCAGATTTCTTTCTGAGAGTATTTTCAGAGAAACGAAAAAATTTTCAGCGCCTCCTACTTAAACCGTGACACACACATGATGGCCGCTACCTCGATATCAAGTATGACCATTGCAAGATGTGTACATATATAAAAATCTAGTAGGAATCACATAAACTAAGGGAATGGTTTATCTCTGACGGAGATAATCTACGCAATTGGATGTGGAAAGAGAGTTTTTAGAAGACTGTGTTGAGCCAATTTTTTTTCTAAAGTCTGTCGGACATCAAGCTCACTGTCCAACGTGGAACTCATCTAAGCGTATTATCGAAGAAAAGTTCCTTGTTTATTATATATCACTAAAAAAAGTATTTTTAGTAGCATTATTAGCAGTAGCAGCAGAGATAACAGACATGGCACTGTCTATATAGGATCTCGCCTGAAGATAGGCTTTCGTTTTACTTTTGGCGATCTACAAGCGGAGGCAAACCGTGTCAGAATTTGTCTTCATGACCTCAGTCCGCCGTACATATAGACAGTGCGTTGTGTCTGTCGGAGTGATGCTTAAAAAAAAATATATATATATATTATATATATTATATATTCAAGAAAGTGCGTGTAGATTCGCAAATGTGTAGTTATTCTTACGGCTTTTGCCAAGTTTCGATATGTTTTTTTTTTATTTAATAAATATTTACGGTTTTTTTTTTAAACTTTTATTTATATTCTTGTAGTATGAAAATTAGTCTTTCTCTTTTCTTTATTATTCGCATTTCAAAATAGAATTTAGTTAGAATTTATTTATCTTTGTTTTAATATCGGAAAACTTTTTTAAAAAACTCGCACAATTTTTTTTTTAATCTCTAGGGGGTATATTTAGATAATTTAGTTATTTTAAAATAAATCTATTTTAAATTTAAATTTGTGTAAAAACCTGCCTTTATCTCCCCAGCAAAGTAATTGAGGACGCAAACGATAATTACAGCCAGACTTACTACTACTACTACTACTACTACTACTACTACTAGTTACAACATTGCAACGAAATGAAAAAGGTTTTCGTATGCCTTTAAAGAATTAAAAAAAATAACATCAACCAATTTTGATTTCTAAATATTTCCATTTAAACTTTTGAATATTTTAAAAATGATTAAAGATTAAATGTTGGTTTAAAAACTACTTTTTAGGAATTTACGTTCAATGCCTAAATTTCGGGAAAGCAAACTTTTTTTGTTGTTGTTTATGAATGGAGAAAAATACAAATTAATTTAAAAAAAAAAGGAAATACATTGGATATAGAAATTTGGGCCAAGAAAAGGCTTTTTTTAAAATGAAATCTAGAATAATCCTTATAGAAGCTAGAATTCGAGAGGCGAAAAAAAGATTGCCTCAAAAAGTAACTACGTGTAACCGACATCTCTGAAAATAAAATAAAAAGTTTATATTTTTTTTATCCAAATTTAAAAGATATTGGGTTACTTTCAAGAGTCTTGAAGGAGCATCCATTTTTTTCTTAATCTTGGAACCATGGTTTTTTAGGAAGATACTTAAAAGAATCTATTTATCTATTCTATAGAGACGAAATTTCAACATTTCTTTGTTATTCCCTAGTTTAAAAAAAAAACAAAAAAAACTAAACGACACTCTATATATTAACATGGAAAAAATTGTTTGTTGAAGGGTGGGCGCGTACCATAGCGCCATAGCCAGAACGTTCGCCTCGCAGATAAATTTCAAGGGCATTGAGTGCTCCCTTGATGCAGACTTGTGCCAGACTAGAGAGCTAAGTAAATGCTGTTGAAGTTAAATTTTGGAAGTAGTCATTCTACACAACTAATAATAATAATAATAATAATAATAATTCGAGATGTTTTGATTTAAAACATAAAACAGAATTTTAAGATGAATAAAAAAAAGGTGACGCAGTTGAAAACTTTATGATGTCATTTTTTTTTTTTTAATCACGTATATCAAGTGGGGGTTCGATTACCTGTGATTGCTTACAAGATCTTCGTAAAAATAAAAATAAAATTCCTAATAATTTTAATAACTGAAATTAAATTATTCAAAATAGACAAATGAAATGCGCCCCCCTTTTTTTTGTCTAAAACGGAAAAATAAATAAACCGAGCTGTTTAAAATGGATCATGGTGCAATTCTCTCCTTGTTCACCAACAATATATATATATATATATATATATATATATATATATATATATATATATATATATATATATAACATAGACACAAGCATCTACCTGTATGTATGTATATACACAATACAAGAAAGACGTACCTGTTTGAATTCCCCGTGGTTTTGCTCCTAGGTAAGCTAAATTGACATTTGCTTTACGACCGTCTATGATTGGATTTGGATCTTTACATGCCCGCTCAGCGGCATCTTTTGTAGCCATAGTTACCTGAGAAGGGAAAATAACATATTAATAATGATAACAAGTAAAAAAAGACACGATTAATTCAAATTGTTTAAAAAAAAACAACATTGAAAATACTTAAAACTCGGTATTAAATATATGTATGAATGTATGTATATTTCGATAGATAGGTATGAACAGATAGAGATAGTAGATATGTTGAACAGACTGAGATAGATAGAACAGATTGTGATAGATAGATAAATATGAACAGACCGATAGATATAGATAGATAGATAAATAGATAGATAGATAGATAGATATGAGCAGACTGAGATAGATAGATAGATAGATATGAGCAGACTGAGATAGATAGATAGATATGAACAGACTGAGATAGAGAGATAGATATGAACAGACTGAGATAGAGAGATAGATATGAACAGACTGAGATAGATAGATAGATACATATGAACAAATTGAGATATGAACAAACTGAGATAGATAGAGAGGTATGAACAGACTGAGATAGAGAGATAGGTAAATGAACACGCACGCGCACACACACACACACACATACACACACACACACACACACACACACATATATATATATATATATATATATATATATATATATATATATATATATATATATATATATATAAACGATTGGGTACTGAAAATTTCAAAGACAAAGAATCCTGTTCTGCAAAAAAAAAAAAAAACAACCCTATTTTTGATCATTTGGTCAGTTTTGGGAAAGTGGGTCGCTTCAATACCCTCCTTTATATATATATATATATATATATATATATATATATATATATATATACGTAACAGGAGTAAACAATGAATAAAACAAAAATAGAAAGTCATCTAACACAAACTTTATTAAAAATATTAAAGTTAATTATTAAACTTATTTCAAATAAAGATTGAATCTCTTTTCAAATATTAAAACTAAAAGTAATGTCTTTTTGAAACAAAAAAATATTTACTAATATTTTCCAGGCTGTTATTCATGCACACCTACACACACATGTACACACGCATACATGCGTGTGTGCGTGTATGTTTGTGTGTGTGTGTGTGTGTGCTTATATGTAGATATAATAAATATATTTTATGCAAAGATGTATGGTATATATAATATTGGAGAGAGAGAGAGAGAGAGAAAGAAAGAAAGAAAGAAAGAAAGAAAGAAAGAAAGAAAGAAAGAAAGAAAGAGAGAGAGAATATATATATCGGGTACTTACAAATCCGTATCCACGACTTTTCCCCGTTTGTCGATCTGTTATAACTACGGCTTCCTCTATTTCTCCAAATTGGTCAAAAAATTCCCGTAATGATTTGTCTGATGTGTGGTAGGGAAGGCCTCCGACAAAGATTTTTGTAAAGGTAGTGTCCTTCTGTTGAATTGTGCCGTTGGCCATGGTCCGATCTGGAGATTCTTGCAAACAAGCTGGAATCAAAAAAGTTGTTGTTGTAGTGTACAGAACGCACTTGTTGGTGGTGTTCTTACAGTGTAGTAGATCTATATACTCTTTTTGTTGTGACTGAAGTACAAAGCATAGAGTAACAGCAGCAGTAGTATTAGTAGTAGTGGCAGTGGTAGTTGTAGTAGTAGTAGTAGTAGTCGTCGTCGTACTAGTAGTAGTAGTAGTAGTAGTCAAGCAATTAATCTAAAGAAGTGAACCGAGGTCGATTTTTTTTTCTTTTTTTTTTTTCTAAACGTAGAAAAATTAGACAAATAGAA